TCAGCACTGGCAAGTTTTTTTTTTTCTTTCCCTAAGCAGAAAAATGCAGCAGTTCACCAAAAATAGACATTCCTTACTTTGAGGAGTTGCTTTCAGGAGGATATTATTTAAGGGTTCTCCACTGCCACATGTGGGTCAAATCATGGATAGCAAACGATGAACCGTTTTAAGGAACATGAGCAGCACAACATATTCAGAACAAAAGCAGGTTTATGCATAGATTCCAGTCAGCAATCGGCCTCTTCATGCATGTTGAAGCCACTTCTGCTCTCCTTTTCTGCATCTGAGTGCAGTTTCCAGAGAAAGAGGGGCACTAAGCTGAAGTGCACTTACAACATCTTACAGCTAAAGTGCTTTACATGTTGCTGTTTCTTCCTGCACAGAAATAAGATTCTGTGATACTGTGAGCATTTTTTTTAAGGGGGAAAAAGAAGCTTTCTAAGTAAATCTTATTTTTGTAAGCAGAAGGAGAGGAAGGTTTAGTCCATCCATTGGCAGGAGGATTTATCTGATCAAAGCAACTCAGCTAAAACCTTTCACCAAGGGAGTGTCAGCTGGTTGCAGATGGAGATCCAGGTTGCTGGCAGGGCTTAACAGGAAGCAGAAGGGAGTCAACTGGACCGCTAACTAGCTGTAAGCATAGCAATGGACTCATTTGAATATGCTAATTAATATTCCAGCATTGATGCAGGAATTTAGCCAAAGTAATGAGTTCCTTAACAAGGGTCATGTTTCACCTTTGGGAAAAGCATGAATTATTAATGTGGTTTAATCAAATCTACACCAATATAAATTGTGTTTTGCTAATATTAATCATAAAACTGTACCTGTTTCTTAGATATATGTAAATGTAAGACAAGACAGGTTAAAAACCGACGTTTGAATGCAAAGCAGAAGGACTAATATAGTGGATGATCTTTGTTAGACTGTCTTAGCTTGTTAAATCATTTGGGAATTTTCTTTTGTGACCAGTGCACTGTAGCATGCATAATCTAATTTTCTATCCCAACTCCCCCACCACCACTCATCAATGACTGGTGTCATGGCCTTGAAATGGGCGAACCAGACGTTGTTCTGATTCTGCCATAATTAAAGCCGACTGATGGACAATTAGTTTGGTCAAATTTCCAGGATAACACTTGTCTTACATTCACCTTTGAACCTCAGGGTTTGACACGGGTCTGACCTTCTCTGCTGAATCCAGGCATTGCCGTGCCAGGGGTCAGTTGGGTGGAGAGGTCAGTGGTACTCTGTTAAGCCTTTGATTTGACAAATAAGCGTTTGCAGTGATTTGACAGTTGTGTATTGATTTCCTTGTTGTTTAATATAGAATTCCAGAATAGAAATCAGCTTGTTTGGGTTGAGAATATTTTAAATCGCATTTATGTTTATCCCAGTGTACTATGTTTAGTGCTGAGTTAAAGCTACAGTGTGTAATAATTACAGGGATATAAAGTCAGAAATTTAATATATTATACATAAGTATGTTATTTATCATCACCTATGAGCTCAGCCTTTTAACCTTAATATTTGCGTTGCCTTAGAATTCGTTATTTATAATTACATAGGAGCGGGTCTCGCAGCCATGGAGGCAGACATCTTTGCGCTACGGCAAGCGCAGAGGCAACAAACTAGCGATTGCGAGATCTCCCATTACGCTCGAAAATAACTACGGCAAGTTGAGAGAGATTAACTGAGACGGTACTGAACAGTAGATGGCAGTATTATGCCTGAGAAGCGTTTAGTCTGCCTGAAACCAAAGAAGAAGAAGAAGCAGGTATACTGCGCATCAGTAACAAGAAAGGTGAACAAGGCGGCAGGCGTGAGTGACTTTGCAAACTGTTTGGCACTGTGTGGCCAAACATCAGACGAATGGAGGATCATGCCTACTCTGTATCACAACGAAAAGCAGCGGACACCGAACCCCCGTCATCTAAGAAGCGGAAACACGACGAGAATAAACGCAAGCATGACAAGAAACGACAAAAAACACGGATCAACATTGGCACGGCATTTACACGATGGAAGTCACTGATGGAGGAAAAAGGATTTCAAAGTGACGCTCAAGTTGCCAGTTTTCTGTTGGACAGGTAATTAATCCTACACACACAATTGTCTAATATCACTGCAGTTTTTGGAGTACAGGATGCTCAGACCTGTCTAAAACAATAACATGCTGCGTGATGATGCTGTTACTCTCCAGTATACTTATTCAGCAACGTCCCTGACGTATCACAGGTAATGATTCAGTAATTTTCTGTAAAATAATTTTCTGGATATATACCTCGGTTACTTCTCTCCGGCTCCTTTGGAGATCTTCAAGCCTTTCCTCCTCTGCTCTAGTCACCCCGCTGGCTCCCCTCTCTCGCCTGGCCCTAGCTGCATGCCCTCGCCCTCTTCCTCTCCCTCTTCCTCGCCTTGTAACCCCCGTGCCACAAACAAGACTTGGACTCTGTAAACGAGGAATATATATTCTTCCAGCGCACACAATCTCGCTGTTAAACTAATGACTACAATTACTTCGTCTGTTTATATCACCATGCAAAGCAGCTCTCCAAAACGTCACAACGACGTAGAAAAAATAACGGGTATATTTATTATCTTAAGTCTACATGAAATCTATACCCTACACAGACTAATGAAATACTATCTGTAAAATTATCTATGTAAACAAACCTCATCACTTGAGAAGGTAGGTGATTCCGACGTTGTGGAAGACATTTTGTCCCGTAACGCTCGCCGTACTGTTGGGGGGGAGAAGCGGTGGGGGGGAGATGTTCATGTTGCTGCGGTCTGCAGTCTGACCGCTAGATGTCGCTGAAAATTACACACTGTAGCTTTAACACATGATATAGACAAATGGACAGAGAGTAGATATATAGTATATGTAGATATATAGTACCTTGGAAAACAGTTCATATTCCTCATGTCTTTCAGATTTCACCTTTTTTTTTCAGGCAAACGTGTGATTCCAATTACATTAAAATGTTATGTGATGTTCCAGGAATAAAAAATTACAATCCAAAGAGCCATTTCCACCTTCCCTGCTGCCAGATAAATTTAGTTTAGAGCAGCGGAACTCAAACACCACTAAAAAACAACCCCCCCAATTTATATGAAAGAGATATATAAAAATTGTTTTATTTAGCATTTACAGAACCACATGTTTTTATAGATTTAGATAAAATGTTAACATAAACAGGACAGTTTTTTTCTGTTTTTAATAGAAATGAAAGGGGGGGGGGTCAGAGGTTTGCAGCGTAATGAAGAAAATATGCAACCTTGTACCAATAGTGTCATTATTTTATAGAAATGCTATGCGGATATTAAATTTATTAAAAAGAAAAAAATACTAAAATAAACCTTTAATAATCTTTTTTTTCTACATAGCTTTCTGTTTAAAGATATCAAGAGCCAATATGGAGGGCATAAAGAAATGAAATGTGGCTTTAAAGCCATAGGTTGAAGACCTCAAGGTTACCAATACAAATTTCAGGTTAGATTACAAAGTGGAGCAAAAATAATTCATGTTTTTTTTTTTTTTTGTTTTTTTTTTTTTTTTACATATAAATCAAATCTTCAGAGTGTATACTGTGCTTTTGAATTCAGCAGTTCTTTGTCTCTTACTTGTAAACCAACTTTCTCTGCAGTTACAGCTGAGATTCCTTCAAGGCATTACTCTACCAACTCTGCACAGAGTGCAGAGCTAGACCTATGCCCCCTGCCCGCATCTATTTATTTGCAGAATACCTGAAACTCAGTTGTACATAGCGTCCTTCGGGAAGGTAAATTTTCTTCTAAGACAACAGTTTTCTGCAGCCTCTAACAGGTTTACTTCTAGTACTTCCCTGTATTTAGTTCTCACCATCTTCCATCATTCTGCTTAGGAAAAATAAACCCAACTGCATGATGCCTCCACCACCGTATATAACTGTGAGAATGGTTTCTTCACTGTTCAAAAACTGTTTTGAAGCACTTTCATTTGTAACGTATTCTTCACTGTTAAAAACTAGGCAAACACTCAGATTAAGATCCTACCATCTGTGTTCTTAACCATCCAAATTCAGAGGTTAAAGTGCTGGAGATTTTAAAGAGATTAGCAAAACCTATGTGACAGCAGTGAATTACATTTGTTGCTTTTTTTCAAATGAAGTAGCTTTCCACATGAAGATGTCTCCCAGAAACGTGGGCCAACTGTCTTCTGGTTCAATATACCTAAAATGTAAAATTATTTTAATGAACACAGGATTCTTAAATAAATAAAACGCATCATTTGTATTCAGTGAATGTGTGATACCAAGGTCAAACTCATTGTTTTTGCACTCATTCTTGGCTGATAGAACGGATTCTGGTCATTGTATTTTAATCTAATAATTTCGGCTGATTTGGATTCTGTTGGATTTTGAATAATGACGTGTAAATTTGAAAGCTCTGTTTTCAGTGTTGAGATACCATCCTTTGTGAATTCGTGACGATTGAATCAAAAACCTCATTGAAAACAAGTGGAACTTTACATTTTTGTTGCACAAAGATAATCAAGGACATTCTTGTAACATATTGCCATCAATTACAAAACTGTTCTGTACTTTATCTCCAGATGTGAAACTCGAACCTGTGCGGGAGGTTGAGATCCATCCATCCATTCATCTACAGTATCTATCCATCCATCCATCCATCCATTTTCTGTCACGGTTGTCCCTGCTGGGGTCACAAGGGATGCTGCTCCAGCCCCCATCTCCAACTGTCATCCCCATCTCAAGCTGTCAATGGCTGAGAGGCGGGGTATACCCAGGACAGGTCACCAGTCTATCGCAGGAGGTTGACATCATCACATTTATGACACTTCTGACTAGGTATTATCACAAGGCCATATGTAATTCATTTAGCTTTCCACTTAATGGTGCACCAGTCAAAAAACTTACATACTGACACTTTAATAACCCAGTTATTAATTTATGCTTGGTTTTGGATTAATTACACAAGCTGATGTGTTCCAGCCTTTATTTTTGTTAATCAAGATGGTTTTCTGCTTAAAGCAAATCAAAAAATTTCACAGTAAAAATGTACATCACACTAACAAAGAAAAATTTTCCATACATACAAATAAGGGCTTAATTAAAAGAAAAAGTGTTTCACTCCTGTATAAATGTTATTTTCAAAGCATGCTTTCAACCTATCAAATTAGCCACATTAGAACAGAGTCTACATTACAACAGTTTGGACAGAAAGCGAGTGACATCACCTAAATATGAGGTTACTAGGAAACTGCAGAGTTTCAAGCTTACAGGGTAAGACTACTTGGCTGCTCAGTGAATGTTTGGGTTGTGTTAGAGTTACAGGTTCAGTAAGAGGTGGAGTTAAGCAGTATGAAATGCAAGGTGGCTTTTTGTATGACTTCTTTAGGACAGAGGGCAATACTGTAGGAGGATGCATTAGTTCTGTTCCTTCAAAACTTAACCTGGGCTTTGTTTTTGTTTGTTTTAGTTTTTGAACTGAATACATTTAATGTTTTTTTTCTTTTTCTGAAACCTACAGATAAAATACAGAAACATTTAGACATTTTATTTTAAAGAACAAGTTTTACCCTTTAATTCAATTGAAGGTGTTTTCTTTTAATTGAAAAACGTTAAGCAACTCAAAAGAATAGGATATCACAAACTAAAATAATGAGGGTTTTATTAAACTATTTGATTTATATATGTTTCTGTTCAGGCTTCTGACCCATGTACAGAGATTAACCCTCAAAGACACAAATTTATTAACCAACAGCATGAAGGGCAGAGGAAGGTAGATTAGAAAACAGCGGTTCAATGTGTGAGTGAGATTCATCTACCAGCGAGAGGTGAGAGGGATCCAAGGCTGTGGCTAAGTTGTGAGGTTCAACGGCAGCTGCTGGATGGACAGATTGTGCAAGGAGGAGCGGTTCCAGTCTGTTCTGCTTCTCTGAGAGAAGGCTCTAGAGTCTAGACCCAAAGGCTCGTACGGGAGCAGTTACCAATATGGTTAACGCTCCAGCAGAGAATGGTCGGCATCCTGTTCTTCTTAAGCATCCTGGTAATGATGCAGGTCTGGCAGTACCACACCTGCAGCCGATGACCCGATCTCAGCATCAGCTCCAGGAGAATCCTGACAAAATGAGATTTCAAACAAATCACACACAGCTGTTTATTCCAAGTAAAAGCATATTTATTAACCCGAGGAAACAGCTTGGGTCTGAATAAGCTCGAAGTAAACAAAAATAATTCCTTTGTTAGTCTAATCCGTTTAATCCATTTAGGGATTTTCAAAAGTGCTGTGTCCACTTAGATGTGGAGATAGGAGGGCCGCACAGCCTTTGTGTGCAAAATTTCAACGCTCCTGAAAAGAGGGCCAAAGGGGCCCCCCAATCTGCAAGGCAAGTTTATTTCTTTAGCACATTTCAACAGTTCAAAGTGTCTAAATGATGACAACATAAGAAAAGAAAATACATGATAGAAGAAAATACAATAAAGTTTGACTACCGTATAAACTGAAATCAGTGTTTCTGTTTAAATAGAACAATCCAAGGTATTGAAAAGAAATATGTAACAAGCTACTATTTAAGACATTTTTTATAGTTTGTTCCTGATTAGTGTGGCTTAAAAACAGAATATCCTTTTTGGGGGATGCAGAATCCGAACCAACCAAGCAACACCAGACTCCAGTCATCTCATCAAGTGAGTCCAATCTGAACATGATGTCTTCATGAGATGAATGTAGTCTGGTGGAAAGAAAACCTGCAGCCACACATCCCTTTCTGGAACCACTTTGACACCCCTGGTTTAAATAATAACTGCAGTCATGTCATCCCTCTGTCAGTGGACAGGGCACTGCAACCATCACTCCTTCAAACTCTTCATTGCAGCTTCATCGCTTCACCCTGACCTTCTGCGAGACCTGGTGTGAATTTAAAGACAACAATATGTGTTGCATGCAAAATATTCCTGACCCTAAATCTGCTCCTTGAAACTTGAATTATCAACAAACAGTGAAAGCATGTTTTATTGGGGGCCCTATAGGTAACTCCAGTCACTGCCAGTTACCCTCACTGTCATGTAAGCAGAGCTGCCATTTCAGGGATGTTTTCCCAACTCTTGTGTTTATCAGGGCAGTATTTTATATGCACAAAACTGACAGCTCTTCAAAGCAGGTTATACATGCACAAAACATGATGTGAAGCTTGTGCAACATGTTTTGTCCTTGTCCTCCCATAAGCATGGTTATATTTAACCTCCCTCACTATTTCATAAGACCAACGCTCTGTACATATGTAATATAGAATAACTCCAGCCATTTCAAGGCTTAAAACATGTCCCAAGCACTGTAGGTGGTGCTTTGTAATGGGTTAGATGTGACATTCTTTTATCATTAAGAGCCCCCAAACTAGTTTAAAAAGACAGTTAGTAAGGGGTAGATTTACCAGACGCCGAATCAAGAATTTGTATTACCATTAAACATGCAGACACCCAGCTTTGATAGCACACCTAAAATGCAAACAAGAAATAAAAACACATTTAAAAATACAAAACAACCCCAAAAAGAAAGATATGCACATAAAAATGCATTAAATAGTGTGTACTTAAAGTGCAGCTAGTGACAGTCTAGCCTATGATTTGGGCTGATGGTTTATTGATGTCTAATGTGTGTGTTTCTGAGAATTCAATATTAATTCAATTCAATTTATTTATATAGTGCCAATTCACAGCACATGTCATCTCAAGGCACTTTACAGTTCAACCAGATCATACAGTCAAATTGATTCAAAGTTTTCTATCTAAGAAAAAGCACTTAATTGCATCAACTCACTGATTCGAAGGCAATCTCTTACACCAAGCATCCTTGTAGCGACAGTGGAGAGGAAAAACTCCCTTTTAACAGAATGAAACCTCCAGCAGAACCAGGCTCAGTGTGAGCGGCCATCTGCCGAGGCCAACTGGGCCATCGGGGTGTGTGTTAAAGTGAGAGTTTGTTGTTGTAAACAGAGGGTGTCCAGGAGTATGAGTGTGCACCTCCAGGGATGGAAATGAATAAAAAACGTAGCCCCACTAATCATAGGGGTACAAAAATCCTTCGCTATGTTAAACTGGTAATTCTACAGAGTCAGCTCCTCTAACTTTGATTAAAATGTAAAGCAGGGAGATGGATATTATTGAAAAATAAATGGTATTCTTTTTAAAGAAATTGAAATTGCGCCTCAGCTAACACTTAAAATAAATATAAGTAGCAGTAAATTTGTAATTAAAAAAACTGTATCTATCACTTTATTTGCTGTTTGCATAATTATTATACATTTCTAGAATTTTTTATCCTACTGAATTATATTCCCCTGCAACTGATCCACTGAACCCTCAGCTCCATGTGATCTAACATGTCTTCATATTCCCATCTATTTTCAATGTTCTAAAATGAGCTGCATGAGAAACTGAGCCAGCTTCTCATTCCAGAGAAACAGCATCATAAATCTCACCTGTGCATTTTTTTGTGTAAAGATGGCTGCGTCCTAACTTAGACAATCTTTCTCTGCAGCAACCCTAGTTACCAAGAAGCGGCGCATCACTGAGAACCCCCCTCCCCTTTTTTTTGTGATGTAAAGTTGGCTCACATTTCAGTGACATATCATAACACACATGCACACGTGTATAAAGATAAATTTGCATCACCAACCAGCAGGCATTTAACACCTGCTTTCAGATGTACAGTAGCACACAGTTCCAGGAGTTTACCGGTATTTGTAGGGATGACTCCTGAACTTTACTGGAAATAACTTCCTTTTCCAGTCGTCACACACATATTTCTCTTCTCAAGGTGGCAGATACTGCAGTAAATCATTGTAAGCACGTCTCAACAGCTACACAAACTTGTCCAGAAGCTACCAAGCAGTTGGTGCCTGAAAAACATCCTTTGGTTTTCTTGAAAGACATTCTCTTTCAAGTAACAGAGGGCAAAGATAAATCCAAAACATTTCCTCCCGAATTGCTTTTTGTGTTAATTTAGGCAGAACATCATTTAATTTTAGGAATAACTTTAAGGTACCTTTTCTCATTTATTGCTGGACGGATCCAAGTATTTCAGAAACTACTAAACTAAAAGGTTATTTAAAACATGTATACTTCACTAGTATTTGTCGGTTTATCACAGAAACTTTAACACAGAAGTGTCGAAACATCTGCAAGGTGTTGCACTGTAAGACCAGGGTCATCTGCTACTGGTAATTGGGTTGCAAACTCTGTAAAAAGTTAAAGAAGGGAATCTTGGCCTGGGCATTGCCTTCCACCCTGCTGACATAATTAATTAATTTTTGCCTTTTATGGTGTGTCTGAATTGATTTTGTAAACATGTTAAAAGCTGAATTAAATTAGACAGCTAATAAGGTTTCTTACTGTGGGAAAGTTCGTTTTTTAAGGGACAGTTGGCAACCCTACCGACTAAATTATTAGTGAATAACATCATGCTGTTTTTGAGCCATGCATTATCAATTAACACATGTTCAGCACACGGAGACAAGGTAAATAAGCTGTAATTTTTTTATGGATGGTCAAAGTAAAGATAACTTTCTGCATTAATCTTTTTTTGTTTTTAAAGGTTTAATCTAATATTCTAATTAGATGTAATTTGAAAATCATCATTTACAACACAAAAAAGGCTTGAAAACATCAATCTTTGCATAATTATGAACATAATGAATTTCACTTGTAAAAAGGCTTTCAATAACAGCCTACATTTTGATTATTACTGGACCTTTTAAGAAATCGAAGAACCTCCACCTACATACAGAGGCACTTGCCTAAATGACATTTCCAAACACAGTCCACCTGATGGAAATCCCGTAACATGATGTGGGTGCAGAGGCTAACACTTTGACCACCGGCATTTTAGTGTTGGTGGATGACCTCATGTCTGGAGAAATGTCTGAGCGGCCTCCTTGTTTTGAAACCGTGCGTTAAAGAGTGGGGAGGTGAAACTCTTCATCTTGATCTTTGCCGAAAAGGAAGCTATGTGTAGATGTCAGCAAGGCAGGGAAGTGGTGGGTCTGTGGGTGTGTGCATACAGCAACAGCTCAAACCTGAGGGTGGACAACTTTGGTTCAAACATCTTTTCCATCGGGAGGAAAAAAAACATTTTTGTTTTTTTTTTTAAAGTGGGTTATTTGTGCATAAAGGCTCAATATTAAAGTTGTACTGCTATAGGCTGCAAATAGATCAATGTCTTAAAACAGCTGCAGAGCAGGGTGCCTCTGTTTGCAATAAGTGCCTTTCATTCATATATGGGCCTCTTTGAAACAGGAAAAAAAAAAACTCCACCACCTCTGCACACTGTTCATTAAATACGTTATTCTAGTTTTCCCCTAAAAGTTCATCATCAGGGTACAAAGTCACAGCCGTTTTAAGCATGGCCCCTGCACTGTAAGCTTAGCTTCTACAAAGAGATCCAATGAAGACAAAGCACACGTCCCCTATAAATGCCTGCCTTTAACCAGTTCATGGTGCCTGCACATGCGGGCTCTAGCCAAACAAAATAGCTTCAATTGCTGGTTAATTTATTGGAGACAAGCACCATGCAGAGATCAAACAAACAGCTCTCACTTGTAGCACCTTTGCTGCTGTGAATGTGCTGACCTCCTTCACCTTGTGCATTTTTCTATAAGGGGCATTAAAGGCAGAAAAAAGAGGAAAACTCTAGTTTCAGAAACTGCGGTTTGCTCACATGAGGTTTGAGTTTGTTTTATTCATGTTTAAGTCAGTAAATCAGCTATGCATATACAGTACGCAGTAGCTGAGAAGAAGTCTGAATAAGAAACACTGAGGGAGTACAGATGAATGGATGTCATTGGAAAACAGGATGTGCAACAACAATGTAATTGTTCCTACCTGAGCTAAAACATATGTTGATGAAATACTCTCTAGGGAAGTGAGGATTTTCTTTTTTTATTATTTTCCTTTTTTTCCTTCCTTTACCGGGTTGTTATTGTGCCAGGGTGAAGCTTAAGTTTCATTACATGAGATTTAACGACCAGGTTTGGGGCCTGAATTTCCCACAACCCGAACATATGAGGAGGATTTAGTTTGGCTCTTTAGCTTCTGACATGAAACGCCACTTTATTGGTTACAACCTGCGGGCACACTAACAGGTTGAGATCAGAGGATATTTTTTCTCCACTTTTTTCCTTGTTTTGTTTGATTTAGAACCCTATAACGTTGTGATATGCTCTAAATCTTTTTCTTACCAGAAGTTTGAAAGGGGAAAAAATCGACTTTAACAGATGTAATGTGACTGTTGTACACATTACAGTACAATTTTCACACCCCTTGAACTTGTTTCCAAGTTTGAAGACGTTTCACTTCCCATCCAGGAAGCTTTCTCAATTAAAACGTCAGGAATAGCTTTGAGTTCGAGGTTTTATACAGTAGCCTTGTTTTTGTTTTGAAAACATGCAAATTGGAGCAGACGAAGGGGTCCACCCATTTGTAATGGGGATTGTTTGGCTTTGGGTAACACACTATTTGGTTAACACTTCAAAGAACATACACAACAGGAAAATGATAAAACAGACATAAATCCTCAAGCTAAAACAACTATGCATCATAATACATGCTTCAGGACCTGCAGGTATAACGAAACCGTATATATATATATATACATTTTTTTAGGTTTTTATTGCTTTAAAAAACTAAAACTATATTTATTTTTCCTTCCACTTCATAATTATACTATATTGCATGAATAAAATACTGTGGAATTTCTATTTTATAACAACCAATCTTTTTTCCAAGGCTTTGAGTATAACTAACAGAGCCACTACATTTCCAGAAAACCCATTTTGTAGATGCTCTGTTTTATATTGAACATGCTATGCATGCAGTGCTTCTTAGGTGCATTGCCTTGTACATACGTTCAGCCTTAGTTGCATGCATATGTGCAGAAAGTTGCAGTCATTTATTTCCCACAAGGCCATGCAGCAGGTTTTAAAAAAAAACAGGAACTTACAAGAAAAAATTACCTTCAGAAGTCAGGTTTTTAAACAAAAGACTAAAATAAAAGTATTTAAAGAGCTACAGAGAAAGATACACAGTTTAAGAAATACCCTGAAATTATTCTAACTTATCAGTTTTCTTTTTATATTCTGAAACAAAAGCATGCAGATCAAAAAGATAAAAAAGTGTTTTATTTTTTAAGTAATAATTGCAAAGCTGTTTAGTATTTTTTGATGAGCTGTTGCATTTACTGGAGCCTCAGTTTTCTGCTTCTTTGCTCATAGCAACGCGTGTGTTTCTGTCTGCTCTGTGATTTGATGTGGGTGAATGTGTCAGGGTCACAGTCAGGAGGTCTCCATCACGCTGGCCATGTACCCCATTGTCCTGGAAGACCTCCCTCTGTGTTATTGAGAGGTGCTATTCTTCTGCATTATGTGGCATAATTAGGTTGTTGTGCTTATTACCTCCTATTATTGGCGGAGCTGTGTGATGTGTGCATGCAGCTGGTGGTATGATCGGCTTTCTGGGATGTGTAAATTTATGGTGGCATGTTGTTCCGACATGTAAGATACAGATAAATCTACATGCTTTAGACATTTATCAGGGGTTTTTCTTATTCTTAAGTCATAATAACTAGAAATAGTATTCATATCCTTGAACACTTTTAGATTTTATAATGTTACAATCATAAATGGATTTCATTAAAGGACAACTTAACTCAAAATCTTTTTTATTATTTTTCTGCTGATGAGCAAAACTTATTATGCTGCCTGTATAAAGCAGGTGAACAGGAGTGTCTACATCTGGTTTTTACTATTGGCTTAGCAGAGAGACGCAGAAAGAATAAACTGAAATGGCAACAACTAGAAAAGATAAACAGCAGGGGGAAAAAGAGACAAAAAAACTTAAACACCTAATGATTATGACATTATGTCCATAATTTATTTAACATACATAACCACTAAGAGATATAAGTATCAATATATTTTTTCAAAATGAAGGAGAGAATCGAAGATGTTGGGCTGTAAAGTGGCACAGGACCAAATTAACCCCAGAGCATTTATGACCATTCAGTTCTTCATCCTGTTTTTTTTTTTTTTATCTGCCAGCAAGAAACACAAATGACAACATAATAATAATTAAGGGCTTAAACTGATTATAAACCATCTTTCTATAAATCTTAACTTATCAAAATATTAACATGCATTCAGTACTATCTATCACAGTTTAAGACCCGATAAGCAAAAAACACTTCAATAAATAAATGAAGAGGGGTTACATGTGCAACTCTCCTTCATTCAAACATCATCAAAGCCCTTCTCAGATAACATGTTCCATACTAATTAGATCATCAGCTCCTGGTTCATCTGTTCAAAAGTGATGCCAACACTTCGACATCTTACTGCTTTATCTTGCTTTTTAACTGTGGGTTATGAATCTATATGTAGAGAAAGCTTAATAAAAACACTGAAACTGTTTTTTCCCCCTTTCAAATAGGCTGTGACCTTGATAAACAAAAAATATTAGATTAGTCTGCTTTATGCTTTATCAGATAACAGACGAGGAATAAATGGAGAGACCCAGACTTAATGATGTGGAGCGAAGAACAGCAACGATGGTAACTAAAGTTGAGACTCAAATTAAGTTCTACCTATATTATAGTACCTTTGCACTTAGACAAAAGCAGTTCTATCAGAACATTAGCATTTCCAATGGTACATATGTGGCTGTTTTACTTCCACTGTTATCAGATTTTCTGCTTTAATGAGGTCTTCATGAAATGTCACCAAACTTAGATGGAAATCAGCACTACACTCGGTCAAAGATCTGGGTCAACTACAGCAGCCTGTGGGGGGGAAGCAGGTGGAAACGTAAGTGTCAGCCTTCTTCCTCTTTTTGGGCAACATTAAAACACCACACAAAGGTCACGAGCCACTTTCAGACCCGAAGGACCTGTTGTGCTCTGCAGGCCGCTCACATGCAGGTCGTTCTGGTTGGCTTCACTAATGCAGACCTCCACCGGATCCTGCTGGTGACCTCAGTGGAACCTGAGGAATGAGGAGCGGGCTGGCAGGTGAGGCGACAGGCACATGAATGAACTCCGTCCTCCCTGGCATCGCCCCCAAACCTCAGAGGGGAATGTGCAATCATGACATACTCTCCTCAAGAGTTGTAACCTGAAACATGTTGTGTAGAGCACAATAATCTCTGCAGGAAATAGCGAGGATGTCATGTCTTCTTATAAAAAGAAGCATAAAAATACATTTAGACAGCAAAAATAATGGAGAAATGAATGAAAGAAAAATAGAAACTGAAAACATTTTTTAAATGGGCCAACTAATTAATCTAACAACAGGAGCAAGGAAAGGTCTTATGGAAGGTAAAGTGTATTAAAGTTGCATATATGTAATCAAAATTGCTTTGTTTTCATGTGGTTATGTAGAAAAATACAAACAAATGCACAATCCATTAACCTGGAATTAAACCATTACACTGGAAAAAATCTAAATCTAGATAAGTCATTTTTTCTCAAAATAAGTGCATTTGCTCTTGAATTGAGGAGGTAAATGAGACATTATGCCAATGGAACAAGACAATTTACCTTTATAATAAGAAAACACACTGCAAAAAATAGAAATCTCAATAAGTTATTTTTTCTTAAAATAAGTGCGTTTTTCCTTGAATTGAGGAGTTAAGTAAGACACTTTGCCAATGGAACAAGACAATTTCCTTTTAAAATAAGAAAAAAATATTTTATTGTCTTATTTCAAGTGAATATTATCTAACTATCTTATTTTAAGAGTAAAAATACTCATTCCATTGGCAGATCATCTTATTTACTTGCTCAAATTAAGGGTAAATATACTTAATTTAAGAATTTTTTACTAATTTCTGGATTGTTTTTGCAGTGCAAAATTGCATTGTCTTATTTCAAGTGCATCTCATCTAAATATCTTATTTTAAGAGTAAAAACACTCATTCCATTGGCAGATCATCTTATTCAGATATTCAAATTAAGGGTAAATAAACTTAATTTAAGAATGTTTGTACTTATTTCTAGGTCGTTTTTCCAGTGTACATCTGAAATCTAGTTTTAGTTTAATTAAACTAAACTTATTTTTAGCAAACACTAAACTTAAGTTGGTTTCAAAATGTTTAGCACAAGAAGCAAGGTTTCATAACTATACGCAGATTTGTTGCATGATAGTAAAGCATCAGCATTATCAGTATGAAGGTATGGAAATCATCATTTTACCTGCTAGGGATAAAAGCATATTAAGAAACCTGCTTTTAAAAAAGTATGCTTGTTATTTAGAGCAAAAAGGTTAAATGTAATGTTCTGTCTGGATATTCTCGGTTCCTCACACAGTGCAAAAATATTCATGTTGGGTTACATAGTCTCTTTAAGTGTGGTCAGGGCTACATAGAGGAATATTTAAGGTTAGCGTTTATTATATTATAGCAAAATTCTAAGAAGAAAAGAGAATAAAAAACAGATTTTTTTTTTTTTTAAGAAACCCGTTTCATGTGTTACTTGACTTACTTCAAGTAATTGAAAGTCTTTCCCATACTTCTCAGAACTGTGTAGACTGCATCCTTCTGTCAAACCTCAGTGGACCCTGAGGAATGAGGAGCGTTCTTTAGCAACATTAAATGCTGCTCCTTGTGTTCCTAAAGACACAAGGAGCAGCATCTTTAGAAGGTCATGGAAACATATGATCAATGTTTTTAAGTATTTGACATTTAACTTAACTTGCGATACAGGTGAACATCAGTTAGCACTGTTGTTCTGCAGCCAAAAAAAGTCCCAGGTTTTTTTTGCAATACGGTTCTCTCTGGCTTCCGCCCACAATCCAAACACATGACTATGTAGTAATTAGGTTAATTTAAATCGCCCTGAGGTATTATAACAACATAAGGTTAGTGTGTGTCTGTGTGTCTCTGTGGAGGACTGGTGACTTTTTCACCCTTTTTTACCCTGCCTCTTGTCCACAAAAACTGTGGATGGATGGATGGATGGATGGATGGATGGATGGATGGATGGATGGATGGATGGATGGATGGATGGATGGATGGATGGATGGATGGATGGATGGATGGATGGATGGATGGATGGATGGATGGATGGATGGATGGAAAAATGATTTCCTAAAGAATAAATCAGAATAGGTGAAACATGCATTTCTGAAATGAAGGACGTTTCTTATGTACATAGGTCAGAGCTGGTTGCAAGTTTGCCTGTCAACATGCAAAATCTACCTTTAGAGTGTGGCAGAGAAAAATTTCAACATCAGTGCAGAAGCGCTGAGGTACTCTGATGGAAATAGCTTTTAGTGTCAGGTTAAACGACTTGTGCATCAGAGGGAGCAAAGGATGTGGGGGTGGCACTTCAAAAAGAAAATCCTCTCTGTCTCCCAGACTATAAATATATTCAGGCGTTAAATTTAACATTGTTTGAATCCTGTCCCACTGCTCATCAGTAATTTACTGAAGGTAAATCTAAAGGTTTAAATCCAAAGCAGAAACTATGTAGATTTATTCATCTGTTATTGGAATTAACAGTTCTTTAAAAAAAAATAAAAAATTAATCTGATTACTGTATATCTCCACAGTTTAGTAGAAAATAAATGTGTTTGAGGGAAGCTATATGCTGCAGATCAATCGTTATTTTTTTTATAAATGATATCAGTGTTCAAGGTTGGCTAATCATTTTGAAGTATGTTGTCAATGCTGCAGTATTTGCATGTTATACTTTAAAAAAGTTTTAACCTGGAAGGAAAGCTTAAGCATCCTTGAATAAGAAATCAATTCCAAGTTTGGCTTCTTCTGAGCAGCCTTTCAGCCTTAGAATAGGACTTATTAGAACAGTGGCCAACAGGTTCAGCAAAAGAGGAAAGAAGGTGCAAAAAGGTGATGCAAACACAAAAAAGAAATACAACAGCAAAAACGCTGCAAACAAAAAATGTTGCAATCGCAAAAAATAGAAGCATAAGCCTACAACCAACAAAACAAATGCAAAAACCAAAAATACAGCAACAACAAATAAAATCCAGCAAGCAAAAACAAAATGCTGCAACCACAGAAAGAAAACGATGAAAACAATAACCAGCAGTAAATAACCCCCCACCCCCAAATAATGTGCGCCAGACCAATAGAGGGAGTAGATCTATTTTATTTATTTTTTTGAAGAGTCGGATGAAGAAAGGAGAGGTTTGTATTACAGAGGAAGACCATAGTTATGTATATTAAATTAATCTACATATATAAGGTCTGATATGGTTTGTTCTTTTAACAACTCACTTTAGTGATCTGAAGCACTTCTGTTTTGTGGAGCAAGTTTGTTTTTATATTTTGCATCATTTTCGTGCTGTGGTTGCAGCATTGTTGATGCAGTGCATTTTTATGCACTTTGCATGTTGCAGGTTTTTGCAGCTCGTGTTCTTGTCGGCCCCTTGTTTGGACCTATCGGCCACCGTACATTATTCTGTGGATAATGACACATTGTTTTGAGCATCAGCAGATGTACAGAGCACATTCATCGTTGGAAAGGATTCTATCTTCCTGTTGAACCATGCGATGGCTGATGACCCCTTGAGGCATTTCCAAATTATACCCGGGAATGTATCTAAATTATTTTATATTTTGACAATGTCACATTAGAGAGTCATAAGTGGCTAAGGTGTTGTCTTAAAACCCTTCCTCTTGTAACCCTCCATTTAAAACAGATTTTTTAAGTAATTTTGGTTATCATGAAACAATGTTTACTATGATTCAAGTCTGTAGAGATTATTTTATTCTGTTTATTTTTGGTACAGTGTAGGTAGCCCTTAAGGAAATCTTACTTTATAGGGATCCTACTTGATAGAATGGATTGGGACCCCTATGGCCCGGGTTTCAACCTGCACCCCTTTGGCTAAGACTGTACTCTGTCTTAGTGTCTTATGTTGTCTGAACACAAATCCAGCAGATGCTTTAACCTTTTTTTCACATGTATTTATCAGTAAACTGTTACACTTTTATTTCATAGATCCAACTGTGACTCATGTCGGCTTTTCAGTTCCAGAGGAGCTTTAATCGTCTCATCCTGCTGGGATTTCCGTTTCTTTGGTGGTTTGATTACAAGAGACTGTTAAGAATTACCCCCAGCCGCTGTTTATCCTTCCATGAGCCAACATTTAGCTTTGGAAATATGAATAGGAAATCTGGTTTCAAACATTTTAAGGCATTTGTTCTTTATCTTTTAAGCATATATTTATACTGTATATGCAACTCCTCCTAATACTCACTTCTACCAGTCCATTAAAGAGAAAATCCCCCAAAGGTTTGGATATTGCAGAAACTGAGGCTAAAGCTTCAGGCTCTATACCCATCTTTTACTGATTGCTTTATGCTCCAGTGCTTTAGTCCCACTGAGCACATACACATTAATAACAAAATACTCCTACAGTAAACCTAGAAAGAAATGGTCTAAAATAAACCAACAGCATTTTCCACCACCCTTCAAGCACGTCATAAGCATCACACGCCTCGGACAGCTCCCATCAAACAGGCACAGCAGCTGATTCCTTCTCATATTTCACTGTACTCTCTCCTCATCTGCATCACTGACAATACTGAGACTGAGCTGCCCGTTGACCTGGAGTGGTTTCATAAATCATACTGATGGCTTTTAGAGGTGGGGTCTTCACAAGGTAAAAGGGTCATAAAATACCTCCAATCCACTCTTTCTAAAAGGTTGTCTAGGGACAGGTTGGGGAAGATCCAGCTGAATCCTGCTGACATTTGTGAAGGCTTTTCAAGACTGACGTAGACATGTAACAAGCTACTTCTACTATTGTTTTAAGATATCTTTAAATCTATTGCCAAACTCATAAGTTGCTGCGACCTTCTTTCTCAAGGCCTCAGACAGTTTCATTCATCTCACCATGGTGTTCGGTCCACCTTTAACAAAAATGCTGGTTGTATCTTAAATGGGTCTACTTATGATGATCTAAATTTTAAGCTGGAGTGAACAGTTGTAAATGTATGTATAAAATGCAATAACTCACCAAATAAATGTAATCACTTGTGAGCTAATAGCATTGTAACGTGTTGTCAGCAGTGCAGTCACTTGTTACTTGTATTTCCCAGAAAGGATGTTTTTTGTCATGACTCGCACCTGTTTGTGTTTTGCTAATTGACATGAGGCTGACTGTTAGATCACTCCATTAGATCATTGTCCTACACAATAATGCAAGCCAGGGCAAAAAAAGGTGCACACAAACACAGGATAGTTTATCAGCAACAAATCAAACATGGTATTTGTTAAGGCTTGTTTGTTTTACCAGCAAACCATAAGGCAAAGATGACAGGTAAAGTGTCTGTAATGCTTGGTTAATGCAAGATCACAGAAATGTTGTCAGCGGTAAAGTTCATAAGTAGTTCTTGCAGGTGATGGATTTAATTTTGAGACAAACTCCATTCACTGATTGCTTAGTTGCTGATGGGCCCCTTGGACTGACTGACAGGCAACGTCACATCAAATTGCTCCCCCTTTTCTTCCATTTAGTTCCTCTCCCCACAGCTGTATTTAACTTCTAGTTTTTTGTTGATTCCTAAGGTTCCCTCTTTATCTTTAAGTGGAGCTTTTTGTTTATATATCCACAAACCTCCTGCCCATGTATTTTTGCTACTTCTGTCCTCAACCTCCTCAAACCATGACAGATTTTGGAAAAGTGTTAAAACAGCTTTTAAAATGTGATGACCATAGCTGATAGTCATATGCTACAGTTATTAACGGCATTTCTTGGAAATAAAAGGATTTTTTTCATCGGAAAGTCATTATTTAATTGGCTCAATGTGTAAATGGTTTTGTAGGTAGGTATTTTGTGTTCTGAAGTTGAAAGCTCAGGTAAAAACTTGGACTCTTGGAAACAAGGGGTAAACTCTCACCATCACTGTAAATATTACATCTTGGAGGATTGATTATTGTGATGCTTCAAGTCTTGCAAGGTTGGGGAGTACCACTTTTTTACAGAAGTTTGTGACGGGTTTGCTATGCATCAAGGCTACTGGGTCAGTTATCCTTGTCATCATTAACAAGCAAAGTGATAATTTTAGCTCCATCCTTTCTGATGCTGGCGCCTACACGCAGCATCACCCAGGGTGCCCAGCAGAAGGTCAAAGCCTGCAAAGAGGCCAGGTCGGATATATGCATGTAATCAGCCTAATGACCCACAGCACAATTAACGCTCGGCTGCTTAGCACGTCAGCGGGCTGACGTTGAGGTGTTTATTGGATGCTGGCTCTGGTTCGGCGACCCCTGTTGTGCCCCAGCTGATCATCTTCCAAACCGGAGCTGGAGGCGCTCCAGTCTGACACATGCACGGTGCAGGGGAGCCCAGCAGTCGCAGAGGAGCAGGCTGACACACATAGCAGCACAGAGGGACCAATGAGATGCCAGGAAAAGTGCTGTCAAGGACCTATTTTCATCCTTCAATGATGCATGGTGGAGAATTTGGTTATAATCAATACTTCTGATTTCTTTTTGACAATAATGAAATAAATATTAGCTGCATAATGAAGTTATCCTCTTATATCAAAGCTATGGACACTGGCTTAGCTGTCCAAAATAGCTGTTTGTGCAACAGTTACTCAGGGCGTCACGGGCAGGAGCTTTTAGGCTGCTGGTTGATAAATCAACTGGATTCCTGCATATATGATTATACATTGGGTCATTTATCCCCTGCGCCTTCTTAATAAAGGTGAGTATAACACATCTTAACACTTTTGACATTCAAGCAGTGTGACTCCCCCAGTCGTGGAATTATGCTGTTTTTTGGGGTTTGGAAGATTTTAGAACTGTTTTAGCACTAAAGGTGGAACATGAAACAAAAAACTTAATTCTCCATTCCGCTAATGTATAGATTTGAGCAATACATTATGCAAGAACTTTAAGCTGGAAACTAGCAGCATATACTTGTAGAGATGTCTGTATTACATCTTGTGTCAAGGGCAACAATTCTTTACAAAAGCTTGAGATGAATACTATTACAATTATATATGATCACTAGTTATGGCTTTTTGGTGTAATGTATGCATGAGTTGTCCTTTCCATTCTTTTGTGGGCAACAAGGTGAAAACGTCAATGTTCAAATTCCCATTTTCAGCTGGTCTTAAACTAGTCTGACAAATGCTGTGGCCCATTACCTGAAAGCAGCACATCAGGTATATCTTGTTGTGCAAAATGTGCTCTTGGCATGTGTATTACCATGGTGTCCTTTGTGTCTGGTAACTTCCCAAAAGTTTGAATAATAGTCCACTTTAATCATTTAGTCCTTCTGATGC